TCTGTGTGTGTGTGTGTGTGCATGTTTGTGCGTGCATTCATGGAAGTGTGTGTATACGTGTCTCTGTGTGTGTGTATGTGTGTGTGTGTGTGTGTGTGTGTGTGTGTGTGTGTGTGTTGTGGTCCCTTGCTACTGATGTTCTACGAGTGATTAATGTCCAGAATGTGCTGCTCACAGTGATCGAAGATCAGGTCAATCTAAACTAATGGCAGATAATGCCGCGGCGCACTAAAGACGCTGTCTAAGATTCCTGTTTATGTTTATATCCATGATACCTATTACCTTCAGATGAAAATCCAATGAAATCACTGAACGTTGGCTACCTGTTAGCTCCCTGTTGGCTCCCAGTTGGTCGTGCATTACACAGAAAGGCAAACCTCCATCTTGGGAACAAACTTCTCCGTATCCAATCTATGTATGTCTCTATTGATCTTGTTCAGGTGAATTGTATTTGTGTTTTGCCATTTGAGAAGAGAACCTGAAGCTTTACAGTCTTCACTTGGGCCTAACCCAGGAGCTAGAATAGGCTTACTACCGCTCATACTACTGGCACATTTCAGATAACCTCATCTTCAGATATTTCTACCCCAAAAGTCCATGTGACGGAGATATGCTATCTAGTTTGTGACAGAAAATGCTTGCATATTTTAATATAGTGATTAGAGCACTGTCACACCCTGGCTCTGGGACTCTATTTGTTGAGCCAGGGTGTGTTTATTCTATGTGTTTATTTCTATGTTGGGGGTTCTAGTTTGTTGATTTCTATGTTTGCCTGAGTGACTCCCAATCAGAGGCAACGAGTGCCAGCTGTTGGCTGGTTGTCTCTGATTGGGAGCCATATTTAAACTGTCTGTTTTCCCTTTGTGTTTGTGGGTTTTTGTTCCGTGTTCGGTCATTGATACCGTTGGACGTCACGAGTCGTTTCTTGTTTTGTATTGTGTTTAAACTTTAACTAATTAAAGTATGTTTGTTCATCACGCTGCGCCCTGGTCTGTTCCATATGACGATTGTGACAGAAAAACCCACCATGCAACGACCAAGCAGCGTGTCCAGGGACAGCTCTTGGGCTGGACATGGGGGGAAGCGCCGGGAGAAGAGACGGTGGAGGCGCGCCGTAGAGAGGAGCAACGGCGTGATCAGGGTCGTCGTCGGGCGGTCGAGAGGCAACCCCAGACATTTTTTAGGGGGGGCACACGGCATGGACGACGGGGCTGACGGAGGCAAAAAAGGGGCGGATTCTGGAGGCCACCAGGTTACGGATACACCGCCCTGTACGTCCTGTGCGGATGCCTCACACAGAGTGTGTGAGGGTAGGCATTCAGCCAGGACGGGTTGTGGCCGCTCTTCACTCCAAGGCTCCTATCCGTCTCCACAGCCCGGTTCGGCCTGTCCCTGCTCCACGCACCAAGCATACGGTGTGCGTCGCCAGCCCAGTCCGGCCAGTCCCTGCTCCACGCACCAAGCCTACGGTGTGCGTCGCCAGCCCGGTCCGGCCTGTCCCTGCTCCACGCACCAAGCCTACGGTGTGCGCCGCCAGCCCAGTCCGGCCAGTCCCTGCTCCACGCACCAAGCCTACGGTGTGCGTCGACAGCCCAGCCCGGCCTGTCCCTGCTCCACGCACCAAGTATACGGTGCGCGTCGCCAGCCCGGCCCGGCCTGTTCCTGCCACTCGCACCAAGTATACGGTGCGCGTCGCCAGCCCGGCCCGGCCTGTTCCTGCCACTCGCACCAAGTATACGGTGCGCGTCGCCAGCCCGGCCCGGTCTGTTCCTGCCACTCGCACCAAGTATACGGTGCGCGTCGCCAGCCCGGCCCGGCCTGTTCCTGCCACTCGCACCAAGTATACGGTGCGCGTCGCCAGCCCGGCCCGGCCTGTTCCTGCCACTCGCACCAAGTATACGGTGCGCGTCGCCAGCCCGGCCCGGCCTGTTCCTGCCACTCGCACCAAGTATACGGTGCGCGTCGCCAGCCCGGCCCGGCCTGTTCCTGCCACTCGCACCAAGTATACGGTGCGCGTCGCCAGCCCGGCCCGGCCTGTTCCTGCCACTCGCACCAATTATACGGTGCGCGTCGCCAGCCCGGCCCGGCCTGTTCCTGCCACTCGCACCAAGTATACAGTGCGCGTCGCCAGCCCGGCCCGGCCTGTTCCTGCCACTCGCACCAAGTCTTCCTGCCACTCGCACCAAGCCAGGGGTGCGAGTCGTCAGCCTGGTAAGGCCCGTCCCTCCTCCACGCACCAAGCCAGGGGTGCGAGTCGTCAGCCTGGTAAGGCCCGTCCCTCCTCCACGCACCAAGCCAGGGGTGCGCGTCGTCAGCCTGGTAAGGCCCGTTCCTCCTCCACGCACCAAGCCAGGGGTGCGCGTCGTCAGTCCAGCACAACCCGTGCCTGGGTCACCGGTGCCTGGTAAGGTACCGGTCAACTGCTCCACGATGGAGCTGAAGCTAACCGCTCCTGCTAAGTCCAGTTCGGCTCCAGCCGGCGGGGCCAGACTGGACCAGTGGCGTGATGGGGGGTGTATTGGAGGGTGGTGGTCAAGGCCGGAGCCAGAACCACCGCCGAGGAGGTATGCCCGCCCAGCCCTCCCCTGTTTTGTTTAGTTGAGGCGCGGTCGCAGTCCGCGCCTTTAGGGGGGGGTACTGTCACACCCTGGCTCTGGGACTCTATTTGTTGAGCCAGGGTGTGTTTATTCTATGTGTTTATTTCTATGTTGGGGGTTCTAGTTTGTTGATTTCTATGTTTGCCTGAGTGACTCCCAATCAGAGGCAACGAGTGTCAGCTGTTGGCTGGTTGTCTCTGATTGGGAGCCATATTTAAACTGTCTGTTTTCCCTTTGTGTTTGTGGGTTTTTGTTCCGTGTTCGGTCATTGATACCGTTGGACGTCACGAGTCGTTTCTTGTTTTGTATTGTGTTTAAACTTTAACTAATTAAAGTATGTTTGTTCATCACGCTGCGCCTTGGTCTGTTCCATATGACGATCGTGACAAGCACATTCTGACAATTGTAGCCAGTGATCAATTATCCTCCACATTGTTTACTAAGCCTGATGGTTTCAAGTCCAATGTCTTAATCATATCATATTAAGTGACTGATATTCATTACATTATAACTATACTTAGGAGGTATCGGGTTAATAGGACACACATGAGCACGCGTGTGCACGCACACACACACACACACACACACACACACACACACACACACACACACACACACACACACACACACACACACACACACACACACACACACACACACACACACACACACACACACACACACACACACACACAAAGGCTATAATACAAAGGCTATAAATACACGCAATGCGTTCTATTGCCATGGATATAGACATTTATAACAGTTAGAGCCAGAGACAACAGATAGCAGTACCAAGTGAGTGTTTAGAAGGGCTGTCGAAGAGTCAATCCCCTTTGAGCAAATCCACACCAAAAAACAGCCAGGCTTTTTGGATCCGGCTTTAGAGAACAAATGCACTCCTTTTAAATGGATATCTCTGGGTTTGAGAGAGCAGTATTGTGAACTCAGAGTTAGAGGACTGACAGGACTGGGTCACACGGACGGATAGAAATGTGGATCAGTGCTAGAGGAGTAATCCTCACACCAATCCTTCCCATCTGAGCAAAACTCTACTGAGCAACCAGAGTTATATCTGTATTGTGTCTGGCATACATAATCAACTCTTTTCTTTCAAACAATCAGCTTTAAAACACATTAATAAACTAATGGTGGTGAAGCTTAAAATAGTCCCCAAGAGTAACAGTGAGATAAATATTTGTTAAATAACATTTGTTGTTGTTACCTGTAGGTCTAAGCCCTTAGATCACAAAATCTAGCTAACATTTGAAATTGTTTTAAGATGGTTATACGATGCATCATTTAGCCATTTGATTTAGAATTTTAGGACCCTTGGAGCTATAAAAAAAAAGATCTAAAAAATACAGACTTTAGTTGAAGACAGACAGATTTAGTTGAAGACAGAGAGATCACATGCACCTGATGTAAAATCACAATTAAAAAGCTTTTTAAAACTGTACGTCGCAGCAAATCGCCGGCTTGTTTCTTAGTTACAAGTGAGCACCACTTTGCTGTTTCTGACCCTGCTCAACTTACAGTGAATCCTAATAAAGTAGGACACATCTAATTCATCCGCTCTGAAGTTTTTTTTTTATAGCAACCTCTGAGGGGCTATACTGATGAAAGAATGAAATGGGATAAAGAATACAAAAATATTTATACAGCAGAAGCCAATGCCATCTAATCGTGGCCTAATATCAAGATTAAATGGCAAAGAAATACCAAAGCGATGATGGATGTGTCGAACTTTTTCAACATCTTCGTTTGCTTTAAAAACACATGAAATTGAAGTCTGCTATGAAGCAAAGAAGGCTGCTACAGTTTTTTCAGTGAAGTCCATCTTTTGTTTAAAAAAAAAACGTTCATAGACTGTCATGAATTCACACCACATCGATCTTATTTCACACCAAAGGTGTCGAAGTTTAAGTTTATACTGTATGTGTCCTTACCGAACTTAGGTGGCGCGGAGATGGCAGCAAAATCTGTCTTTTATGAAAGACTGTCATGAGTTCATGCCACCTCCAGCATACAGTGTATTCGGAAAGTATTCAGACCCATTTACTTTTTCTACATTTTGTTATGTTACAGCCTTATTCTGAAATGTATTAAAGTGTTTTTTCCCCTCATCAATCTACACACAATAACCCATAAAGATAAAGCAAAAATGGGTTTTTAGAAATGATATCAAATGTATATATAAAAAAAAAACGTTTATATCACATTTATATACCCTACCGGTGAAAAGTTTTAGAACACCTACTCATTCAAGGGTTTTTCTTTATTTTTACTATTTTCTACATTGTAGAATAACTGTGTGTACTTACCGAACTCTCGTGGCACGGAGATGGCGTACACACAGCTGTGTCCTGAGGTGTAGTTGCGGGGGAAGTTAGGAGACAGCACCGTGCCGTCTGAGCCTGTGGAACGACTCCCACACGGTGCTGGGGAACACAAACAGACACACAGAGCACCGCTCAACATCTACTGTATCCTCTGAAGGAGCATCTAGCTCACATTTAGTCAATACATTGACCAGACGACGTCTGTCCAGAAACGACCAGGATGGAACACACAAACAGCTTAGCGGTCTAGTCTTATGGTTATCTTCCGTGTGCTTACATGTGTGCTGTAAGTCATATTGATTGTTTTACAGTGGCTACTACAACCTTTGGTCAATCCTTTTTTCCCCTTATTTTCCCCCACAAATAGTTTTATTGGATTTTTCTTCCAGTTCAGTATACATCCTAACAGATTTCTTTACGTTAGTACACTGCTATGACCATATCTAATGGCTTTTCTCTAGCTTCAACAGGTAGGTATGTACCTTGACAGCTGGGCAGCACCCTGTTCCAGCCGGGCCTGCCGTCGTCCCCCATGATGCAGGTGAGCGTGGAGTAGCCCTGGAGAACGTAGCCCGACTCGCAGTAAAACGTCACGGTGGAACCCAGCTTGTAGTCGCTGCCCAGCCTGGTCCCATTCATCACACTGCCTGGATCAAAGCACGACTCACGCAGCTTGGCTAAAGAGGGGAAAGATATATATATATAGACACATACAGTATATACTGTATATCACAAATAACCTTTAACAATAGTGTGAACAGGAGATGCAAACAGGTAACACAGGCAGTGAGGGAGTTTCATGTTGAAAGATGTAGAGGAGAGTTTAACTCATTATTCAAATGCTAAAACATTGGATCCACCCCTACTTACAGAATACTGTGGACAGAAAGCATTTGGATTCTCATTAAACATTCTGCGCGTACAAAAAAATGAAAGGAAACAATGCACATTTCTGACTTTGGTATAGGAACCACATTATACAGCTAAGCAGAAACCTCCCTCTAAAAGAAAACCTAAATCTAGTAGGAATCTATGAGAAACTTCCTTCCCGCTGTCCTACTACCTTTGTATTCTAGGTGGAAACCGGTGTAGCTGACAGAGCCGTCGCTGCGGAAGGCCAGGTGCATGGTGTTGGAGCTGCTCTCGATCCTCTCCGGAAGCTTGCTGTCCTGAAAGCTACCAATCAGAGGGCTGTTGCTGTCCGGGCCATCATAGATATACAGGAAGTCATAGTTGGGCTCAATGCTGAAACTAGAGGGAGGGATAGAGAGAGAGAGAGAGAGAGAGAGAGAGAGAGAGAGAGAGAGAGAGAGAGAGAGAGAGAGAGAGAGAGAGAGAGAGAGAGAGAGAGAGAGAGAGAGAGAGAGAGAGAGAGAGAGAGAGAGAGAGAGAGAGAGAGAGCGAGAGAGAGAGAGAGAGAGAGAGAGAGAGAGATAGAGAGAGAGAGAGAAAGAGAGAGAAAGAGAGAGAAAGAAAGAGACAAATTAGATGAAAGACTCCATTCAATTCCCCCACCATACCATATCTAGAGGAGCGTGTTAGAAAAATGATCTCTCTCTCTTTCTGCTGAACTTGTTTGGGTTTCAATACATCTGTATACAGTAATAGGCAGAGATGACACACTAGAAACGACTGTCTGCTTTCATGGCCTCGTGTGGGCGGTCGAGGTGGGAGGTTAGCAACAACACTCAAAAGGCCCCACTATTCACACGTTGACACACAGTGGCAGATGCCTCAGATGCCTGTGTCTACCCAATGCCACAGACGCTAATGAATAGATTCCTCAGATCATCCGTAACCTCTCCTCTCTATGGGTCTCAGCTGGGGAGCCAGACAACATGATGATATCCCCCTTTTTTTCAGTTAGCGGTTGCTAGCGCTCCATTAATTTCCCTTATCTCTGCTGTGGGAAAACGCTAACGCTAAGGACGCTAGCATCTATAAATACCCGGGGAGTGTAATTGCTTTGGTATAGTCAAAGATGAGGCACTTATCCTGTTGAGCTGCAACCTCATCACAAAAGGTCGTCCACCAACAGCTTCTCTCCCATGCTCTGCATTTCCGAGAATGAGTGTGTGCGTGTGCGTGTGGGTGTGTTTGTGGGTGTGTATGTGTGTGTGTGTGTGTGTGTGTGTGTGTGTGTGTGTGTGTGTGTGTGTGTGTGTGTGTGTGTGTGCAGTTTCTGTATCAGGGAAGTTCATTTACATAAGAGAGATTTGGAGGTGTTTTTTCTTTTTTAATATTTCTGAAAGAGTATGCTAAGTGATATTGCCACACTTCAATGAGCCTGTATCTAAAGCTAAGGGCTCATTGTAAGATAATAGAAATCCAAACATGGAGACAAAAACTCCAGCTCTATACCATATTAATAAAGTAATTAAATGTTGATAACCAGATCTGTTCAGATCGTTTTTTAGCTTAGCCTCTGGAGCTGTCACTCAACCAATTATCTTGGTAGCTAATGAATATGCGGCAAAGATAATACCCAATTTGGTGACAATGACAATGAAATCTAAATTTGCCACCTTGCCAATGCAATGGGTCACTTTTTACTATATAATATTACTCTGCTGCAGTTACAAAGGGTGTCCCCAAGGGCTCGGTGCTGGGTCACTTTTTTACAATATATTATTATTCATTTTCTCTATTTTCATTGGGAACATATTTCATGTGGTTGTCTTTTTGGGGGGAGAATAGTGTTAGTAATGGTCGTCTGTGAGACGGAACGGAACAAAAGGCTTTTCATTAGAGAACCCTGCTTGAGGGCCTGTACCACTGTCAATAGCCACTTTTCCACTGTACTGTGTTATTTACTCCATTGTTTTGGGGGATAGGACCATTCAAATGAGAAGAGAGCAAAGCTCACATTACACACCAGATGAAACTGTCTAACTGGTGGAACCAAAATGGCTGCCTGATACTGGTCGCTTGAAAACTGCTGCGCCATCATCACTGCAGTGGCTTGCTTTCAGCTCGAATATAAAACATGACTCTTCTAATACCAAGGCTAATGAATACAACAATATACTATACATTATCAGACAGTACCATTTTGATTGTGACAAACAGGTTGGAAACAGCTACTTTGTCTACTACAGCGTGATGTTAAGTAAAAGGATGTCCCTGGTCGTGAGGCATACATATTCATTATGGAGAGGCCTGGAAAAATTAGGAGAGGGAGGGAGAGTGAAGGGGGGAGGGAGAGGGAGAGGGAAGAGAGGGGAGAGGGCGAGGGAAGAGAGTGGGATGGGGTTAGAGTGTGCGAGGGAGAGTTGAGATGGGATACCGGAGTATGGAGATAGAGATAGACTTGATACGTTGAGAGAGAGTGAGAGAGACCTGAGGAAGAGGGAGAGAGAACAAGAGATGAGAGAGTGCGTGTGTGGATACAAGCATCATCTTCCATGTTCTGGAGCTCAATATTCTGCTTCATTATCTCAATGTCACCGCCTACAATGGTACCAATGAAGGGAAAAGAGAGAAGGGGAGATATGACGAGAGTAGAGAGAGAGTTGGATATATATATGCTGAGAGGAGAGGAGTCTAGAGACGCTAGAGGTCTATATATAAAGATAGGAGATTGAATCTCTCTCTTCTCTCTCTCGGCTGGAGGAGAGAGAGATCTATATCTCTTTCTCTCTCGCTCGTCTGATAGTGCAGTCTCGATATTTAGATCTGAGTAGATCTCTGATATAGTCTATTACTATCTATCGATAGATCTCTTCGGGAAAGCCGCCACGTACAGTAGACCTTGGAATTCACACCCTGAGCACCAGCAGAGATGGTACCGTTAACTCACCTCCCCCCTCCCTTTCTTTCTTTCGTTCACAATTTCTCTCTCCCTTTCTTTCTTTCATTCACAATCTCTCTCTCTCTCTCTCTCCCTTTATTTATTTTGTTCACAATCTCTCTCTCTCTCTCACACACACACACACACACACACACACACACACACACACACACACAGCTTCCTGATTAGGATTCCACAGCCTCATGTCTGGCACAGGGCGGGCTGCCAACGGACAGGTACGTACATCACCCTTTGATGCAGCCAGGAGCAGGAGGAGCTAGCTGATGGTAGGGGAAAGGCAGGGGGAGGCCTCATCTCACAGCTTTAAGTTAGAGGTTTAACTTAGAGGGTGGCAGCAGCGGTAATGTCTGTCAGCTATACACCACTCTGTGTAGCCTATCGGCAGTCAAACTTTACCCCGTTTTGACCTTTAGCCCCTGTCTGTCATGGACGGCCCCTGCGTCTGCTCAAGCCTCGCCGCCACCAAAGGTTGAATGAAAAATGGACGCAATTAACGGTACTATTTAGGTGTGAAGCACATTAAGTTCTTCCCCTTTTCTTCTATTAATTGGCTGCATCAGTCAACGAGGGCCAGGATGTCTTGATAAAGCACCTTAAAAGTGGGAAGCTGAGAAAGGTCAACTTGGGTTCATTACTGACAAAGCAAGGAAATCCAGCTAGGGAAGCTAATTACCCGCTGAAGACATGAATTGCATCTTAATATAACAGTGATAGCAGTTAGCAGAGACCGTTGTATATTCACCTCACACCCCTCAATGTGATTGTGACAAAATTCCCATTAATGTCCACCTTGCGTGCATGTGTGCATTCAGTGGAACTGATAGGGAGAGTAGGCCTTAATCACTTTGGAGAAAACTAGCACCTATTAGCGCCTAATAGGCTGCCATGTTACCTGATGAAGGCCAGCGATAGGACGTAGTCCGAGTTGACAGCTATTAGCCAATCACAATCCTTGCTGTGGGGGTAAGGATGGGGGAAGTTGGGAGACAGGATGAAGCCGTTGGATCCAGTCAAGTTTCCTCCACAAGGGGCTGAAAGAGAAGAAGTGAGCATATTAAATATATACTAACTCTGACACTCTTTCCATGAACTGTCTCTGTTATACTGTAGTCAGAAAACTGCATGCTATTCTGTGGACATTTAATGGTCTCCTGGACTCCTGGAATCAGCAGGGAATATGCAGGAAATTTGGAAATTTCCAACCAGGATTTCTGGAAAACCTGGGGATTTTGCAACCATAACGGTAACTGATGCATTGAGTTTTGAGATATCAAATTCTCCACACAGACGTTATAAGCCACAAAAATCCTTGAGGTTTTGTCAAGGTACGTCTTATAAGTATGACATCTCTGAAAAGTGAGAGGGATCTTCAGCTCTGTGTCCAATAATTTTATATTCATTAATGGCTTGCCTTGTTCAAAATTGTTGGAGAGCAATGACAGTCAGTCATCTCATTGGCTTTAGAGCTCAAGTGCTGCTTGGCGCTAGGTTCTGGCAACACTCAGGGATACAATATGTTAATTAGCAGGCTAGGAGCCTGGGCTGGGTTGACAGATCTAAGTCTCTCTGCAACACCAATGGGCTGCTATGTGATAGTTGTCCCAAAGCTCTTTTCTTGTTACAGCTCCTTTAGATGGGACTCAACTACTGAGAGGAAGTTAGGTTAGAGAGGGGAAAACTTCTGGATGTACCTATAAGCACTCACCTCAACAGAAGGCCATAATGACAGCCAAGAGTTTTTCCCTGCTCAGCTCACACACAGTGGTCAGTGGAATATCCAGGCTCCACCTGTTACTACCACCTCAATACAAATCCCAGGCTCCACCTGTTACTACCACCTCAATACAAACCCCAGGCTCCACCTGTTACTACCACCTCAATACAAACCCCAGGCTCCACCTGTTACTACCACCTCAATACAAACCCCAGGCTCCACCTGCTACTACTCACCTCAATACAAACCCAAGGCTCCACCTGTTACTACCACCTCAATACAAACCCCAGGCTCCACCTGTTACTACCACCTCAATACAAACCCCAGGCTCCACCTGCTTCTACCACCTCAATACAAACCCCAGGCTCCACCTGTTACTACCACCTCAATACAAACCCCAGGCTCCACCTGTTACTACCACCTCAATACAAACCCCAGGCTCCACCTGTTACTACCACCTCAATACAAACCCCAGGCTCCACCTGCTACTACTCACCTCAATACAAACCCAAGGCTCCACCTGTTACTACCACCTCAATACAAACCCCAGGCTCCACCTGTTACTACCACCTCAATACAAACCCCAGGCTCCACCTGCTACTACTCACCTCAATACAAACCCCAGGCTCCACCTGTTACTACCACCTCAATACAAAGCTATAACTAGAGCCAAGGGTCCTTTCCTGGTCAGGTGATGTGCTCAGGAAAAACTCCTAATCCTATCTGTAATTAAAGCACTCACCTATGCAGACAGGAGGGCTGGGTTGCCAGTAGTAACGGTTCTCCACCTGGATACAGGTAATCTTCATCTCTCCCTGGAGCTCATACCCGGGATCACAGAGAATGGTGACAGTGTCACCTGGCTCTCGCCCGTCCCCGTTACGACTGCCGTTCATGGGTACACCTGGGTCTCTGCAGGCTGTGGCCACCGAACCTGCCGGTCACAACGCAGGGAGGGAATCAAGTGAGTCTATGCAGACAGGTGTTATGTTAACAGTAGGTTGATAGTGTGTCATATATAACAGCTAAACAGTTTGTATGTCTGTTTTTAAGTGTCGAGTTAAATAAAGTCCCCAGATAATACAATGAGTGACGTTTTCCATCACAGAGTCAAACACATACAATACCACATTTTTAGCGGGTAACCCAAACATGTACAATCTAACTCATGGACTGAAACTGACACAGTAAAACTGACACAGAGAAGAACATCACTTTTGAAGCTATAAACTTCAAAGAGTTTTGCAAACAGTAGCCTAAAAAAAACACTCACACAATAACCCACTGTACACTCTTTCGTGTTAGACTTTATGAATCTAAAACTGAGAGTTAATTGCTTTTGAAGATACAAACTTCAAAGACTTTTCACAAACAGACTACTCACTTGAGAATTCGATAGCGAAGCCAGACTTGCTGATGTAGAAGTCAGTCTCAAACTGGATAGTGACCAGGTTGAGGGTGCTGTGGATCCCCTCAGGGAGCAGAGAGCCAGACACCTCCCTCAGGGACATCTCATTCTCAGGAGGGCCATCCCACACCTTGAGGATGTCATGGGATGCCTCTGTGTCGAAGGCCAGGAACTGCAGGCTGAGAAATTAGGAGGAGGAAAATTGTCATGTAGGCTACAGCAGGGTTGCAAACTTCCTGTAACTTTCCATAAAATCCTAGGTTTTCCAGAGATCCCAGTTGGAAAATTCCTGGAGTCAGGAGGGAATAAGCAGTAAATCTGGAATCCTCCATCCAGGATTTCTGGAAAACCTACCAATTTTTGGAAAGTACTGCAACCCTAGGCTGCAGTAAATTACTTGCAATAAATCATAGAATAACAGAGTAATAACAGAGATGTTACAATTGCAATACTCATGGAAAGAACTTGAGAAATTTGCCAAAACACAGTGCGTGGAGATAATTTGTGGATGACCTTTGCTCCTCATGGACAAAAAGGGTTTAAATCAAGTCAAATCACTGAATGTGTTACACCAACACAACTGTTTCCTCATACAAACACAGTTTGTTCTGCATTGATAGCAATACCGTATGTTCTAAATCTGAGGGTTTGTGTATACTTCTTCCATGGTTTTATGATATTCCTTTTTAAGAAAATGCAAGCACTCAGCTGAAAGCCCAACTTCCTTTTTTTGTTCATGGAAAAGTGCTGTTGTGATGCAAAACTGAGGTGTCTATCTAGGCATAATGATGTCGTAGAGACATCAAGCTACGAGCAACGAGCTATAAGTCAGAAAACCTGGCAGGTAATTGGTGCACGTGGTCATAACACTCCTTTCACATCATCATTCAGCAGACAGTGCCGATCAAGACACCAGTGGAAGAAAATAAAGAAAGTCATGAATAAAAATATGATTTCAAACGAGGTGTGCCACTGGGAGTTGGAACAGAACAAATTGTTTGCCTCCAAGGTTACACCATTCCGGCTCCATGGAACACTAATAATTGAGTCTATGATTGAGCATTTGAGTCTCATTAGTCTGTCCAGACCTGTGGTCGTAGATGTGCAGGACAAGCAGAAAACAAAGAGGGACCTGGCATCTGTAGACTAGACAGGAGAGAGGACAGAGGGACATCGACCGCCTCTCCTGTACCCCTGTACTCCTGTATCCGTGCTGGAATGGCCGCTCAGATCGTCACTATTATAGTCGCGCCGGTCACTATAGTAGGGATCGATTAAAGTTCATTGTTAAATTCACCATCATATCTAAGCCAATATGACACCAATGTCGATTAAACTTGGCAAATCAACTTGATTGGAGGTACAAACACAATCCCCGCCTCTCGTCATGAGCCGTCCATTAGTTTTAGAAAAAAATGAAAGATTTTGCCCAGACCTAGCTCAATATCTAGGCGTCAGATAAGAACGAGACACTAGTGTCCATAAAGTGGCCATTAGACTTGCCACCTTTTGGAATTAATACGTTTGTAGGGGCAACAGTTTTGATTACATTTATAATTTATTGCTCTCAAGTGCTCATTTCGGCCCATTAAGAACCAACAATGTGCTAACTTTTTGCAGCATTTCTGACGATGGGAACATCATTTTTAGCTGAAGCTCAGAGTTCTAACACAGGGTCAGTTGCTCCGCAACAACACAGCTGCTTGCACCATAATGCTAGTCATAAGAAGTCTATGTGAACAAACCTAGGCTACTGTAGATAATTAGCTATATGGTGGTTTTCAAGCTGAGGTTAATCAATAAATGCAAACAGATATTTTGATTAGCTAGGTAGGTATCCCGCTCTGTCTGACGGCGAAGTCGGCGCAAAACAAAAGTGAGGTAATTAAGCACGTGTAGTAATGAGTAGGATTCTGTGTTTTCACATGCAACAGTGATTGCTTTTGATAAAAACACGATCTGCCTTTCCTCCTCGCTTTCGCCCGATGACTTGACGGGCCATAACCCGGTGTACCCCGGGGTAGATTAATCGAACCCCCTCTCTGCTTGCTTAAGTTGTGCGACCTGCTGTGCGCAGTCAAAAGAAAATGACATGCTTGCTAACTTGGTTAGCTACATGATTAAATGAGTCTGTTTTCAACAAATCAACTGTTTTAGACTATTGTATTTGAACCAAGCAAGATAAATAAACATTCAATCAGTACTGAGTGAATGAACAAAATCATTTTGGAACAAACGCTTCCAGACTGTCCATTTAAATGGTCTGTCATAGTCAATGTTTTAAGAAAAGGATTCATAGGGTAGTGGTTAGAGTTACTGCCTGTGGATCTGAAGATTGTGGGTTGGCCCCCCGGAGGATACATTTTGACCATTATTTAGTTGATAGTTTTGACAGCCTCCTCCCGACACACACACACACACATTTTTATGTATTAAAAGAGCCTTTGGGTTCGTGGAGAGGCAGGCAAGTGGCAGTGAGTGTGGTGGTGTGTACTACTGTGTGCAACTTGCTAGAACGGAGGAGAGACCAGCACTCAGACTCTCAAGGAAGAGGACATTGCCCTCATCTGTGAGATGCACGCCATCCCTACAGTACTGCACAGGGACACAGTGCTTTATGGCAGAGTGGCGGATTGTGAGGATGCGCCTGCCACGGAGAAATAAAAAAATCAGCTGGGTGACAGAGCACTGGGCCATCTTTATGCGCTTGTTGATGTCCTCCTACCATTGGAACATCCAACTCCGCGCTATGTCAGAGTAGAACATCGTTGTCCCGGGGAATATTCGGATGACTACCTCCAAATCAGTTTGCATCTGACACACAAGGGCTGTCCCCTTTGTGTGTCCCAATTAGTTTCTACCAAGGTGGATGACTATGATGTCAGGGGGAGCAGCAGCACAGGCCATCTGCTGGCGCAGAACATGAAGCAGTTTGCCCCACTTCATTCCTCGCTCTCCGAGCCATGTAATGTGACAGTAGTCAAGGGAGAGGTTGTGATGCTTCCCGACTTTCCTGGCACACTTCTCCAACCAGTGGATCCACGAATGTCCAACAAGCCACACAGTCTTCATGCCGACGTCCATGTTGATGAATGAGTAAATGCCTGGAAGCCCGCGACAAAAAGGGAGCGAACTGTAGTAGTAGTAAACACTGAGTGTTCAAAACATTAGGAACACCTTCCTAATATTGAGTTGCACCCACTTTTGCCCTCAGAACAGCCTCAATTTGTTGGGGCATGGACACTACAAGGTGTCGAAAGTGTTCCACAGGGATGCTGGCCCATGTTGACTCCAATTCTTTCCACAGTTGTGTCAAGTTGGCTGGATGTCCTTTGGGTTGTGGACCATTCTTGATACACAGGGGAAACTGTTTAGCAGCGTTGCAGTTCTTGACACACTCAAAACGGTGCGCCTGGTACCTACTACCATACTCTGTTCAAAGGCACTTAAATCTTCTGTCTTGTCCATTCACCCTCTGAATGGCACACATACACAATCCATGTCTCAATTGTCTCAAGGCTTAAAAATCCTTCTTGAACCTGTCTCCTCCCCTTCATCTGATTGAAGTGGATTTAACAAGTGACATCAATAAGAGATCATAGCTTTCACCTGGATTCACCTGGATTCACCTGGTCAGTCTATGTCATGGAAAGTGTGTTTCTAATGTTTTGTACAATCAATGTAGCTGTGGAATGAATAGAACTGCATTCCAATTGAAAAATATCATACACAGATTCCTTTCTTGCTCCCATTTCAGGGAAGCTTTAAAATGTACAATTTAGACTTTTGCAAGGACAATAAACAATTCTATTTATGTTTCTCGTTTTTCTGGCCAACATTCCCATTGAAGCACCAAGTCCAATCTGTTCTACTTGTTGTATTTCTGTGTGCTTGAACATAAGGCTTTGTCTCTGCTCTGAGAGGATCTCCTGTCAGACTTTCACTCTCTCTCTTTTTATCTCTGAGATAGGCTAATTTACTTTTACTGCTGTGTTATGTTGAATTATAATCACCTTCCTGTGTATATTTGAAGTGAGAAGTAGGCATTGGTCTAAAGCCGAAAAGAAAGGAAATTCACATGAGCACCACAATGCCTACTTCACCCATGCTTTTTCAGCACACAGCTTTGACCTACTACAGTAGCTATGTTGGTCTATTGTACTTCAAACAATGTGTAGGCAGGTTGCTTAGGATTCAAACCTTCTCAAACAGCCGAATTCATACTCTTCAGAGGGATAATGGACTTTACACTGTCCTGCTATTCAAATAATGTGTCTCTATCATTAGGCTGTATGTATTTTTAGATCACAGGAGGCTGCTGAGGTGAGAATGGCACATAATAATGGCCGGAACATAGCAAATGGAATGGCATCAAACACCTGGAAACCATGTGTTTGACGTATTTGATACCATTCCATTTACTCCGCTCCACTCATTACCACGAGCCTGTTCTCCCCAATTAAGGTGCCACCAACCTCCTGTGTTTTAGATATAGGCCTATTGTAGGCCTAAATGTGTGTCACCATCTTTACTGCAAAAATAAATACAAATAGAAACATAACTTTCAGCTACACATTAATTTGACAGAGGTAATGAACAAGAATGGGTCAGCACAGCAATTGATAAAACAGGACCATGTTTGCAAAACAAGTGGTTTTGACATTATGCCAATGTTACACAGTTGATCTAATAGTTACAGAAATCAGGAATGCAGACAGATTCTATAGACCTCTCCGTCTATATGAGTGACTGTGTCCAACACACCACCACCTGCTGTTATGTTGCACACCTACTGACCAAAAAAGAATGTGATTATGAAATATATATTTTTCTCAGTGACATATATTGCTAAAATAAAGATTTAAATAAATTACAATTTAAACGGCAAAGAACAACCGGCAGGTACCACATATATTACTACAAGACAAAACAGCTCACTCAATCAAGCCTGATGGTCTTATAAGTATAAAAGCAAAGCTTGAAAAAGTAGTGGAATGGGATAATGTCTTAGTGTGGGGTGGGAAGAATGCAATACGTTACCTTTTATGCAGTACAAATCATATTATATTGTGGGAGCACCTTCTCTAAGAGTATGAATTAGGCTGTTTGAGGTTTGAATCCTAAGCAACCTGCCTACACATTGTTTGAAGTACAATATACCAACATAGCTACTGTAGTAGGTCAAAGCTGTGTGCTGGAAAACCTTGGTAGAGCATGGGTGACATTGTGGTGATCATGTACATTTCATTTATTTTTCGGCTTTAGATCAATGCTTACTTCTCACTTAAAACATAGTTTTTTGTTTCTAATAGTGTAAAACAGGGTACTGGTGCACTGGAGAATGTCTGCCTTCTTACCTGGATGCTCGCTCTATCAAAGCCATGAAAGTGGATTCACATTTACATCAAAGTAATTTAGCAGACACCTTTATCCTGAGCAACTATCAGTGTGTGTGTGCGTGTGTGTGTGCGCGCGTGTGTGTGTGTGTGTGTGTGTGTATGAGACAGAGAGCTGTAGCCTTGTATTTTTGTTAGACAGATATTACAAGAGTTGGCCTTGGCTTGGCTGCTGAAATGCACAGAGACGAGACATGATAGGAGAATACTTGAAAAGGAGGATACTTGATAAATACTAATTGATCAGTACCTAACGATGTTGCCAGAGTCCACCTCGATAATCCAGGTACAACGGAGGTTGTTGTCGTAAGGGAACGGGTATCCAGGGGACAGGATGCGTCCAGACGACTCGCCTGTGAACTTTCCTCCACATTCAGCTATAAGGAGAAAAAATTTAAATAAGAATCAAAACAATATATACATGTATCTGTTGCTATGGAGATACATTGAAGGAGATATTGTAAAAGGGCATCACAGCTGAGTTTTGCAGAGACACATTCAAAACGCGCATGTATGCACACTTACTCACACATACAAGAACATGCACACATGCACGTACACAAACACACATGTACACACACGTACACAGCTGAGGGGAAATAATTAGTGGGTGGCTGGCAAAGAACAAGTCCTACTGCGCCTCTTGAGAATGTGAAGCTGAGCCGTGTGAATCATCGCAATAAATCAATAACCAGTGGTGTAAAATACTTAAGTATAATTACTTTAAAGTACTACTTAAGTAGTTTTTTGGGGTATCTGTACTTCAACTTTATTATTTATATTTTTGACAACTTTTACTTTTACTCCATTAAAATCCTAAAGAAAATAATGTACTTTTTAAATGATTATAAATGATGTCTGAGTGTTGGAGTGTGCACCTGGCTACCCAATAAATTATAAACAAGAAAATGGTGCCGTCTGGTTTGCTTAATATAAGGAATTTAAAATGATTTACACTTTTACTTTTGATACTTAAGTATATTTAAAACTTTTACTCAAGTAGTATTTTTCTTTTAAGATATCTTCACTTTTACAGGGGGCCAGTATAAAAAAAAAATATATGTATTCACTAACTGTAAGTCGCTCTGGATAAGAGCGTCTGCTAAATGACTAAAATGTAAATGTAAAATGTATGACAATTGGGAACTTTTTCCACCACTGTCAGTAACACCCCCGAGAGTGTTTGCAGATTCCTGGGTCGTGTCCCAAATGGTACCCTACTCCCTATGTAGTGCACTACTTTTGACCAGGGCCCATAGGGCACACACACGCACGTACACAAACACAAATGTACACACACACACACGTACACAGCTGAGAGGAAATAATTAGTGGGTGGCTGGCAAACAAATGTACCACGTCTACAGCTCCTCTTGAGAATGTGAAGCCGAGCCAATAAAACAATAACGGGCCCGAGAGTGTTTGCAGATTCCTGTGTTGCGTCCCAAATGGAACCCTATAGTGCACTACATAGGAAATAGGGTGCCATTTGGGATACAAAACTGTCAGCGATATAAACAGCCAGCCCAAAACACTCCCTTACAGGGTGGCAGTGCCGTGGTGGTAGTGTGGCAGTGTCAGTCTCGGTGCCTCCAAAACCCAGAGTGCCGCCTGGCATATTTTGTTCCGCTCCGGGACATGAGGCCTGCTAACTGCTTCTCTTGCTGAATGCTTCTGTTGCTGACTGCTTCTGTTGCTGACTGCTTCCAGGGCCGCTGATGCTTACTCTCTCTCTCTCTCTCTCTCTCTCTCCCCCCCCTCTCACTCTCTCTCTCTCTCTCTCTCTCTCTCTCTCTCTCTCTCTCTCTCTCTCTCTCTCTCTCTCTCTCTCTCTCTCTCTCTCTCTCTCTCTCTCTCTCTCTCTCTCTCTCTCTCTCTCTCTCTCTCTCTGAACACAGGCCTGGTGGACTTCAGGTCGCTTCGGGTTTATTAATGGAGCCCACATCTGCGTTTCATTTCACCGGCTTCATTTGCATAAGCCATCTACATGACAAACAATAGATGCACAGTTCAATGAAGCCTGAATCACAAAACTCAGATCGCTAGTTGATTAATACTCAACATTAATACTCAACATTTTTAGATGAGGGAGAGAGAGAGTATGGGAGAGTGAGAGTGAGAGTGAGAGTGAGAGTGAGAGTAAGAGTGAGAGTAGGAGTGAGGAAGGGAGGGAGAGAGAGAGAAAAAAGCCACCTCCCTCCTCCTCCCTCTAAATCAAATCAAATACATTTTTATTGGTCGCATGCACATGTTTAGCAGATGTTATTGCGGGAGTAGCGAAACGCTTGTATGCTCTAAACCAATGCTCTAAACCAACATCCTGTGGAGTTCATTCCTCACAAGGCAAACATTCAATCAAATCAAATTAAATGTTATTCGTCACATGATTAACAGTAAAAGGCTTACTTACAGGCCCTTCCCAACAATGCAGAAAGAAAGGGGTACCAGTACCAAGTGAACAGGGAGTACAAGAGGGGACTAAGCACACACCCCTGACGGGCCCCCGTGTTGAGGGTCAGCGTGGCGGATGTGTTATTGCCTACCCTCACCACCTGGAGGTGGCCCGTCAGGAAGTCCAGGATCCAGTTGCAGAGGGAGGTGTTCAGTCCCAGGGTCCTTAGCTTAGTGATGAGCTTGGAGGGCACTATGGTGTTGAACGCTGAGCAGTAGTCAATGAACAGCACTCTCACATAGGTATTCCTCTTGTCCAGGTGGGAAAGGGCAGTGTGGAGCACAATAGAGATTACGTAATCTGTGGATCTATTGGGGCAGAATGTAAATTGGAGTGGGTCCAGGGTGTCTAGGATGATGGTGTTGATGTGAGCCATGACCAGCCTTTCAAAGCATTTCATGGCTACAGATGTGAGTGTTAGAGGACGATAGTCATTTAGACAGGTTACCTTGGCGTTCTTGGGCACAGCGACTATGGTAGTCTGCTTGAAACATGTAGCTATTACAGACTGGGTCAGGGAGAGGTTGAAAATGTCAGTGAAGACACTTGCCAGCTGGTCAGTGCATGCTCTGTGTACACGTCCTGGAAATCCGTATGGCCCTGCAGCAGTGTGAATGTTAACCTATTTAAAGGTCTAACATCAGTTACGGAGAGCGTGACCACACAGTCGTTTGGAACAGCTGGTGTTCTCATGCATGGTTCAGTGTTACTTGGCATGAAGCGAGTATAGAAGGCATTTAGCTGGTCTGGTAGGCTCGCATCACTGGGCAGCTCGCGGCTGGTTTTCCCTTTGTAATCCGTGATAGTTTGCAAGCCCTGCCACATCCAGTGTAGTAGGATTCGATCTTAGTCCTGTATTGACGCTTTGCCTGTTTGATGGTTCATCGGAGGGTGTAGCGGGATTTCTTATAAGCGTCCGGATTAGTGTTCCGCTCTTTGAAAGTGGCAGCTCTAGCCTTTAGCTCAGTGCTGATGTTGCCTGTAATCCATGGCTTCTGGTTGGGATATGTACGTACTGTTTCTGTGGGGACGATGTCGTCGATGCACTTAACGAAGCCGGTGACTGATGTGGTTAACTGCTCAATGCCATTGGATGAATCCCGGAAAATATTCAGTCTGCGCTAGCGAAATGGTCCTGTAGTTTAGCATCCGCTTCATTGGTACTTCCTGTTTGAGTTTTTGCTTGTAAGCAGGAATCAGGAGGATAGAGTTATGGTCAGATCTGCCAAATGGAAGGCGAGGGAGAGCTTTGTATGAGTTTCTGTGTGTGGAGTAAAGGTGATGTTGAGTTTTTTCGCCTCTAGTGGCACACGTATCATGCAGGTAGAAATTAGGCAAGACTGATTTCAGTTTTTCTACAATAAAATCACCAGACACTTGGAGCGCCGCCTCTGGATGAGCATTTTCTTGTTTGCTTGTTTCTTGTTCGCAATCACACTTCATTGGCTGCTCATGGGTGCTCAATCACATCTGATTGGGCACTTACACATCACTTAGACTTGAGGAAGTGGAGAGCAAAGTGCTGATTTAGCATTTGCTCTCAAAAGCATTACGTTCCCTCTCAGAGGATATTACTTATCTTGGCTAAGAAACTCTGTCTACCAAGGTTGCTTCCCAAATGGCACCCTATCCCCTATATCGTGCACTACTTTTGACCAGGGCCCATAGGGCTCTTGTCAAAAGTAGTGCACAATATAGGGAGTTGGGTGCCACTACATAGGGAGTTGGGTGCCATTTGGGATGCATCCTCTCTCTTCACACCTCCTCCCATACCTGCGGACCAGAATCAAACACAGCTAAATATTTCATCTGTAATAAGAAAAGGTGGAAATATGAAAAGTTAGGTAGCTTCAAGGTAGGTAATCCAACTTCTAAAGCACAATTCCTGCAAAGGTCATTCAAAATGACTGACTCCATTTTTTAAATATAAGGAGATGCGGAGATGTGAAGATATGAAGATATAAGAGTATATTCACATCTGCAGTAGTGGAAAAGGTACTCAATTTTCATACTTGAGTAAAAGTAAAGATACCTTAATAGAAAATGACTCAAGTTAAAGTGAAAGTCACTTAGGAAAATACTACTTCAGTAAACGTCTAAAAGTATCTGGTTTTAAATACACTTAAATACAGTGGTGGGAAAAGTACTCAATTGTCATACATGAGTAAAAGTAAAAGTAAATGCTAGAAATCAAATTTTAATTTACGGGCAGCCAGGGCCACACTCCAACACTCAGACATAATTTAGAAACACAGTATTTGTGTTTAGTAAGTCCGCCATATCAGAAGCAGTAGGTGTGATAATGCGTATATATATTGATAGGTGCATGAATTGGACCATACTGCTGTCCTGCCTAAGCATTCGAAATGTAACAGGTACTTTCGGATGTCAGGGAAAATGTATGGGAGTAAAAAGTGCATATACAATGGCTTTCGAAAGTATTCACCCACCTCGGCATTTTTCCTATTTTGTTGCCTTACAACCTGGAATTAAAATGGCTTTTTTGGGGGTTTGCATCATTTGATTTACACAACATGCCTACCACTTTGAAGATACTCAATACTTTGTAGAGCCACCATTTGCAGCAATTACAGCTGCAAGTCTCTTGGGGTATGTCTCTATAAGCTTGGCACATCTAGCCACTGGGATATTTGCCCATTCTTCAAGGCAAAACTGCTCCAGCTCCTTCAAGTTGGATGGGTTCCACTGGTGTACAGCAATCTTTAAGTCATACCACAGATTGTCAATTGGATTGAGGTCTGGGCTTTGACTAGGCCATTCCAAGACATGTAAATGTTTCCCCTTAAACCACTCGAGTGTAGCTTTAGCAGTATGCTTAGGGTCATTGTCCTGCTGGAAGGTGAACCTCCGTCCCAGTCTCAATTCTCTGGAAGACTGAAACAGGTTTCCCTCAAGAATTTCCCTGTATTTAGCGCCATCCATCATTCCTTCAATTCTGACCAGTTTCCCATTCCCTGCCGATGAAAAACATCCCCACAGCATGATGCTGCCACCACCATGGATGGTGCTCTTGGGGTGATGAGAGGTGTTGGGTTTGCGCCAGACATAGCGTTTTCCTTGATGGCCAAAAAGCTCAAAAAAAGCTGACCAGAATACCTTCTTCCATATGTTTGTGGAGTCTCCCACATGCCTTTTGGCGAACACCAAACGTGTTAGTTAATTTTTTTCTTTAAGCAATGGCTTTTTTCTGGCCACTCTTCCGTAAAGCCCAGCTCTGTGGAGTGTACGGCTTAAAGTGGTCCTATGGACAGATACTCCAATCTCTGCTGTGGAGCTTTGCAGCTACTTCAGGGTTATCTTTGGTCTCTTTGTTGCCTCTGATTAATGCCCTCCTTGCCTGATCCGTGAGTTTTGGTGGGCCACCCTCTCTTGGCAGGTTTGTTGTGGTGCCATATTCTTTCAATTTTTTAATAATGGATTTAATGGTGCTCCGTGGGATGTTCAAAGTTTCTGATATTTTTTTATAACCCAACCCTGATCTGTACTTCTCCACAACTTTGTCCCTGACCTGTTTGGAGAGCTCCTTGGTCTTCATGCTGCTGCTTGCTTGGTGGTGCCCCTGGCTTAGTGGTGTTGCAGACTCTGGGGCCTTTCAGAACAGGTGTATACATACTGAGATCATGTGACAGATCATGTGACACTTAGATTGCACACAGGTGGACTTTATTTAACTAATTATGTGACTTCTGAAGGTAATTGGTTGCACCAGATCTTATTTAGGGGCTTCATAGCAAAGGGGGTGAATACATATGCACACACCACTTTTCTGTTATTTATTTTTTACAATCTTTTGAAACAAGTTATTTTTTTTCATTTCACTTCACCAATTTGTAATATATGTCCATTACATGAAATCCAAATAAAAATCCATTTAAATTACAGGTTGTAATGCAACAAAATAGGAAAAAACGCCAAGGGGGATGAATACTTTTGCAAGGCACTGTATTCTTTAGGAATGTAGTGGAGTAAAAGTAAAAGTAGTCAAAAATGTAAATAGTAAAGTACAGATACCCCAAAAGTAGTACTTCAAAGTATTTTTACTTTGTTACTTTACACCACTGTATATCTGTCAGATTATTACGTATTTTTTATTGATGTTGGCTGGAATAATCCCCATAATATTAAGCTATTTACAGTCTTTACATTTCCTCCAGGAAGCTATATACTGTATATAAAACGACTATGTGCTCATATGCTGGGACATAATATGTATCCATATGGGAGGTACTTTGGGAGGGCTAGTATGGTGTTTAAAAAATTGAATTGCTATGGTCATATGCGATATAAAGCATAATTAGTATTTAAGTCCAGAGACTAAGTCTAACTTTCACATGTGGAGTTTTCTTACATGTGAAACTGCAAATTAGATTTTCACATATGATTGTTTTTCACTTGGGAACTTGCAATTCCACATGTGAATGTGACATTTTTACATGGAGTTTTCTAAAAAATTAGTTTTTCACATGTGATAGATTTTCACATGTAAATGTGCTATTAAACACATGAATGTGATATGTTCACATTAAAACGTTTGTGAAACTGCATATCCGAATTTCCGCAAATTTCACATGTGCAACTGCAATTCACATGTGAGGTGAAAACATGTTTTTCTTCTCACATGTGAAAATGTTGTGTTAACATGAACTCTAAATTGAATAGAAGTGAAAATATGGTTTCACATGTTAAGTTTAAGCTCAACATGTGAAAACAGCTATTTCACATGTGAAAATGCGATTTCACATGTGAAACTCCAAATGTTACTTTTTTTTTTTGTAAAGGCTGGTCCTAGTGTACATTGTATCTCTTCCTCATATAAGAGACTGACAGGATGGGGAGCAATATTGGATTGAGTGTGAGAGATTGATAAGGCAGGAAGTATGGGTGTCACGCCCTGGCTCTGGGACTCTGTTATGTTGAGCCAGGGTGGGTTGTTTCTATGTGTTTTGTGTGCTAGGTTGTTTATCTAATTCATTTGTTTCTATGTTGGCCGGTGTGGTTCTCAATCAGAGGCAACGTGAATCAGCTGTTGCTTGTTGTCTCTGATTGGGAACCATACTTAGGTAGCCTGTTTTGCCACAGTGTTTGTGGGATCTTGTTCCGTGTTTGGTTAGTGTCTATTGCCAAGGACGTCACGTATCGTTTTGTTTGTGTGATCATTAAAAATAAAAGTATGTTCGGATTCCACGCTGTGCCTTGGTCCTCTCTGTTCGACGATCGTGACAATGGGGTTAATCAGATCTAGATAAAACTGAATCATAGTGAGATCAAATCTGATCTGAAGTCACTGAGGGCACCAATCTTCTAATCTAATTAGGATAAATCAGTATAATCAAAGAACAAACGATAGCTATCACAATACCCATCATGTGTCTTCTCCAATGAGGACAAATTCCCACTTCCAACCATGAACCCCAATGTAATCTGTACAATCCACCTCGGAGAGTGAATATATCTCCAATCTGTATTGCCTAGTTTAATCCAACTCTCACATACACCAATCTCTCCAAGACATTCCTCATTCAAAAGAAAAGAAAAAAACCAATACATTTGTATTCACTTTAAGAAATGCAAAGCACTACACATTTTTAGACAAAGTTAAATTAAGAGGACATAATGCAACATAAGGCTGAATTAAACCCTCTTCATTAACAGACATTACATAGCTGCAGCCTGCAGTGCAGGTTGTTCTCCTGCAGCATATCAATGACCTGCAGGAGCTCTGCCTGGTCTGGTCTGGTCTGGTCTGCACTCCCCTAGCCTGGTTAATACATTATGCAGCTGGCGACGGGCATGGGCTGCAGCTTAGATCATTATGACAAATGGGAGGTACCTGTGGTTACTTATTCTTCTGTGGTTAACTTGACATAAAGAGAGAAGAGGAGGGGCTTGGGTTGTGCTGCAGTACTGTACTGATGCTAGGTTAACTGGGAGAGGCACTGTGGGCTAATAGCAGTTGAAAATAGATGAAGGGAGCCGTATACCAATCCACTATGTTTAGAGACGTCAGTTGTTCCTGACCATAGGACTTTAACAGTGTGGGTTGTGTGTGCGTGTGTGTGTGTGTGTGTGCGTGTGTGTGTGCGTGTGCGTAAGCGTGCGTGTGCTGTGTGCATACAGTATGTGTGTGAGTGCTTACTTGTGCGCGTGTATATACACACGTGCACAGTCCTTTTTACTTAGTTCCCTTACCGATACAAGAGGGCAGGACGTTGTCCCAGGCACGTCTCTCTCCGGTCATACACTTGAGCATTCCACTGCCGTGCAGGGTGTAGCCAGGGTTGCACCTGTAGGTGATGGTGCTGCCAGAGAAGTGTCCCTGGTCGTTGACCTTGAAGCCAAACTGGGGCACCCCGGGGTCCTCGCAGTGGGATAGCTCAAAGCCTGGGGGGGGACAAAGGGGGAATTGAAGGAGAGAGAGAGAGAGAGAGGTGTGGGGGGGGCAATCAATCAAATGTATTTATAAAGCCCCTTTCTCATGGGTAGTTGTCAAAAAGGGCTTTACAGTAACCCGGCCTACACTATTAGAAAAAAGGTGCTAAATAGAACCATATAGGGTTCTTTGGTTTTTCCCCCAAACGTTATACCTGTTTGGGCTTCTTGAGGTCAATTTGCAGTCTACAAATTATTTGTAATTATGTTCCGGCCCACCGACCATCCGCTCAAGAAAGAAATTGGCCCACGGCTGAATCTAGTTGATGATCCCTGCCATAGGGGAACCCTTTTTTGGTGATAGGTAGAACCCTTTGCAAACGGTTCTACCAATAACCATTTTATCATGTAAAGGTTCTTGCTAGAACCCTCTATGAAGGGTTCTACCGAGAACCATTTTCATCTTTAGAGGGTTCTTTCTAGAACCGTCTATGAATGGTTCCATCAGCCTTTAAAATTTAATGATTTATGACAATAATTACATATATCATAAGGCCTTTCTTTGAGGGCCTAGTTATACCCTAACACAGTAGTGTTAGGAAACTCCTGGTTTACAGGCCACATCAGGCCTGCAAGTCACATTAGGCTGGCTTGCAAAGTAATGGCATCCAGCCAGAGTTAGGATTTTTTTATCACCCGCAACCTGCATTCAGAATGACTGCCAGGGTAGGGAGATTGAATACTGAGACTACCTCAATCATCTAAACTGGAACAACCATCCCAGTAACGGGTGCAATAAGTCGTATAACTACTAACAGATTGAATTTGTTTAGAAAAATGTATGTTATTTATCTTTGTGTAGCATAAAATTAATCAACCAATCATGGTACATGCAAAAACACAGATATTTAAAAACTATTTTGAAAATCACCCTGAAATAGAGCTTGCTGGGAAATATGGCTCTATTTAAAACACTTCTTGCCTTCCAAAGAACCCTTCTTGCGTTCCATCCAAAAATGATTGCCTTCCAAAGAATCATCAAAGAACACTTTCTTCCAAAAACGGTTCTTCAAATCAAAATGGTTCTTGGTAGAACCATATCCCTCCACAAAGAACCCTTTTTGAACAAATTTTTTCTAAGAGTGTAGACTCCAACGAACGAGCAGAAGCACAGTAGCCAGGAAAAACTCCCTAGAAAGAAGACACATGAAGAGGACAAGTGTAGGACAAGGTCCCAATGTCACACAACTGGGTTCAAATAGGATTGGAGCATTCGGTTGAGCCTGCCTAAAGTTCCACATGGCCGGGGCTCACACTTTTTGGGGCTACTCAATTGGTTCCATCCATTACCTATGGATCAAGCTCAGCTTTGAAATACTTTTTGAAACCAGGTCTGTAATGTTAACACAAACTTTACCTTCGCTAGGGTGGACACAAGCACACAGGCATGGAGGCATATGATTTGACCACACACACGTTTATTGCATCCTCTCTTCTTTTTTGGGTCAATAGTGCAATGACCATTCCGATCTGTCGTTTCGTCTTATTTCTGTGCTGCTTGCGTTGCATATACACTACCAGTCAAAAGTTTGGACACACCTACTCATTCAAGGGTTTTTCTTAGTTTTTACTATTTTTTACATTGTAGAATAATAGTGAAGACATCAAAACTATGAAATAACACATATTGAATTATGTAGTAACCAAAAAAGTGTTAAACAAATCAAAATATATTTTATATTTGAGATTCTTCAAATAGCCACCTTGATGACAGCTTTGCACACTCTTGGAATTCTCTCAACCAGCTTCACCTGGAATGTTTTTCCATCAGTCTTGAAGGAGTTCCCACATATGCTGAGCACTTGTTGGCTGCTTTTCCTTCACTCCGCGTTCCGACTCATCCCAAACCATCTCAATTGGGTTGAGGTCAGGGGATTGTGGAGGCCAGGTCATTGGATGCAATACTCCATCACTCTCATTCTTGGTAAAATAACCCTTACACAGCCTGGAGGTGTGTTGGGTCATTGTTCTGTTGAAAAACAAATGATAGAGTCCCACTAAGCCCAAACCAGATGGGATGGCATATCGCTGTAGAATGCTGTGGTAGCCATGCTGGTTAAGTGTGCCTTGAATTCTAAATAAACTGTCACGTTCGTTGAATACAGGATTGGACCAAGGTGCAGCGTGGTATGCGTACATGTTCGTTTATTAAATAAACACTGAACAAAACAATAAAAGCAACGTAACGTGAAGTTCTAAAGGCTAACATCAAACAAGCCAAACACACAGAAACAAGATCCCACAACATAGGAAGGCAACATGGCTGCCTAAGTATGATCCCCAATCAGAGACAACGATCGACAGCTGCCTCTGATTGGGAACCACACCCGGCCAACATAGATCTACACAACATAGACTGTACACCCTGACCAAACCAACAAGAAACAACAGGCATAAAGGTCAGGGCGTGACAGTTTCATCATAGCGCTTGATGGTTTTTGCGACTGCACTTGAAGAAACGTTCAAAGTTCTTGAAATGTTCCGTATTGACTGACCTTCATGCCTTAAAGTTATGATGGACTGTCATTTCTCTTTGCTTATTTGAGCTGTTCTTACCATAATATGGACTTGGTCTTTTACCAAATATGGCTATCTTCTGTATACCCCCCTACCTTGTCACAACACAACTGATTGGCTCAAACGCATTAAGAATGAAAGAGATTCCACAAATTAACTTTTAAGAAGGCACACCTGTTATTTGAAATGCATTCCAGGTGACTACCTCATGAAGCTGGTTGAGAGAATGCCAAGAGCGTGCAAAGCTGTCATCAAGGCAAAGGGTGGCTATTTGAAGAATCTCAAATATAAAATATATTTTTATTTCTTTAACACTTTTTGGGTTACTACATGATTCCATAAGTGTTATTTCATAGTTTTGATGTCTTCACTATTATTCTACAGTGTAGAAAATAGTAAAAAATACAGAATAACCCTGGAATAAGTAGATGTGTCCAAACTTGTGACTGGTACTGTATGTCGTTTGAGGCTCAGAGAGAAAGTTAGGAGCGGTCATTATGATCAGTCATTAATGCTGACAATTTGGCTGGAGGATCCCACTGGGCCCGCAGACAGGGATGGGGCCTGTACTAAGCAGGCAGAACAATTAGGATTTAGCGCTTGGTTAATTTTGAGATGTGTCTGGAACCTTCGGTCGGTACAGGAGGAGCGTGGGCCGGCTCTCTGTGAGAGACACTTCCCATTATTATCTTCTCATAATATTTTCCTTCAGACTCATCATCACACAGCATCATAATTACACAGCGAACTAAGAGAAATAGGAAATAAATAATTATATGACCCTTTCTTCTTGTCTTTCAAAATGCCACCACACATCTTAGCGCAGCTGACAATTTCATATTTGCAGGTTTGAACTCTGCCCTCTGATATGAGGAAGAACACAACCAAGCTAAAATGAGACGTATCCCTCTGTCCTCTCCTCATCGCAATGACAGCTACCTTTCAAAATACAAAACCCAGTTCCATTTGCTCCACCTGTCCCTCCTCCAATTAACAGTACACCCTGAACATGGGAATACATGATAATGTCTGGCACAGCACACATAGACTACTTAGTAGTTACCATGACAGCAAGGTACTGTACTATACTGAGAGAAAAACAAGGTTGCCATGACTGCACTTAACATAGTGTGTGGTGGAGGCAGGAGGGTACTGGGACTGACTAACAGTGGCAATTTTCACCTAGCACACTGATTACACATTAATTACAGGTCATTGTCTCATAGCATTCAACCGGGAACAAACGTCTGGGTCGGGAAAAGACTTAGACTGAGTTGTTTTTATTTTTTAATCACACTCCAACCATTGTGGTGGCTGAACTGTGCTGGCCTTGCCGCCTGCTTCTGACTGTCCCGAATGACAACCTATTCCCTATATAGCACACTACTTTTGACCAGGGCCCATTGGATAACCAATAGAGCTCTGGTCAAAAGTAGTGCACTATGCAGGAAATAGGGTGCCATTTGGGACTTAGCCCTGGGCTTCCACTGACCTTTATTATGCAATCAAACAGCTAATCTTGCAGGTGGAATGAAATCTCCCACCAGACACGGATTTAGTAGATGTAAAATGAGATTGCCCACCAGTGGGTTAATAGGGTTTTTTCTCTCTCAGGACTAACACCCTGTCCAATGTTACACAGGCTAGCTACCAGCTAGCGCAACAAATGGTATTAAAGATGAATGTGTGTGGTTTTTAATGTGTCTGCGGTGGTACATAGTCTGGTTTTGTGTGGGGGGGGGCTAGGACAAGGTCGACAAAGACAAGTGTAGAAGCTCTTTTTCAGGTAATTGATAATACCCTGGACCAAGCTGTGGTATATTCCCTTGAAATCCACTCCTGGCTTTCAACAAAATTCTAATGCCCTTTAAAGGGGCAATCTGCAGTTAAAACAATCAAAATAATATATGAAGCAATCGCCCCTTTAACTCCTACTTGTTTTACAAGGCAGATGGAAAGACTGATCGTAGTGGGAAAATAACTCGTGATCTGATTATATATCTAGCGTGAACACCTGACACTCTATTTCTTATAAATATCAATATGATTGGGAATCCTGACAAAGATAACATAACACATCACATGACCAGCTACTTTCACATACAGCCCATGTCCCACTCCCACAGGAAGACTTATATTAGGGTCCTAGCTAAATCATCAATCATAGGATGTCCCCCATCCCCCTCTGAATCCATAGGAACCATGGAAACATTTTATAATAACGTTCATTAATAAGCCATTAATAGATCCTTTATAAGTAAACAATTGTTCAGCAAATCATTAACACATGCCTAATAACCACCTGTTAATTAAAGTTATTAGAATTAGTGCAGTAAAAAGGCATTGAGCTGATGCACACCCCAAAATGTTTGTAGAGGTGCTGACTAATGGAGGGTAAACTGTGTAGAAATAGGGAAAGAAAGTCACACTTTATAAATGCTCCCAACAATTTCAATGGGTAAACCTAACCAACGTTTCGGCAACGCAGTGCCTTCTTCAGGGTAGAAATGTTGGTTAAGTTTACCCATTAAAGTGTGTGTCTTTTCCCCCTTATTTTTATACATTATAATACGTGTTACCAGAACCACTGAACTCCAACTGTTTTTTAACTTACTAGAGTAGACCAGCTTGAAGCCCTCTCCGGTGGACTCCGGGTCAGAGTAGAACTCCAGCCACAGGTGGTTTGAGGTACTAATGAGGGTTAGACCCAGCATGGATGAGCCTGTGAACGCCCCAAGGACATGGGCCATGCTGTCTTTCCCATCATAGATCTGCAGAGAGAAGAGTTCACTTTAGTTCAGTTCTGTTCAGTGCAAAGTATGTCTTTGTTTCATGAACGTGTTTAGTATTGGCCATTGTAATGTCAAGTGGGTAAAGTATTGCCTTTTTAGTCTGATTATTATCACTGTTTAATGAAAATGTACCAGATGAGTGGTACTAATGGTTTATGGAGAGGGTAGGTCCTTGTTAAAGATGCCCATTCTTCACTCAAGGAGAGCTGCTCTTGAGGTAACATGTTGTTACACTTCAGTTGGATTCCAGGCTACCGTAGCCAGTATAAGGCCATTGATGAGATTAAGAATCCATGGCACTATTTATCTGGCGCAGACAAGGCTTATTACCATGGACAGAATCCACATGCTTAAGTGTCATTGACCATCACAGGAGTACCATACACATACACTCCAGCAGACAGAGAGAGAGAGAGAGAGAGAGAGAGAGAGAGAGAGAGAGAGAGAGCCCAGTACCTTGAGAATGTCCCCCTGTGCCAGATGGAAGGTCCTGGCAGAGATGTTGATTCCCTTCCCAGCCTGCACCTGGATGCTGTAGATGCACTCATGGTTGTTCTCGTAGTTCATTGGGTAGTTCGGCGACAACATAATCCCCTCATTGTTTATGACAGATGAGCCACACTCGGCTACAGGATGGAGAGAGTGGAGAAATGGATAGAACAAAACAACACCATTGGAAAGTGCATGTGACAATGACGGTCTATGGCCAGGGTAATAAAAATGTCAAACCTTTTATTTTTGACATTTTACGCACACTTAATTTCCAGTTCATGTATAACATCACATTTGATCACATGTATTTACATACAGTACTAGTTCACCAATATGGACATATCCTGGATGTAAATTGCATGAAACATGATTAGTCGCTTTTGTGTTCTGCTTCCTGCCTCGCATTTTGTGCCTGGATACCATAGATGTAAACAATCTGGAGGGCTCAGAAGAAAATCTGGAATTGGAACTGACAGAATAGACTTCCTGAGTTATTATTAATTTTCATGTCGCTGCTCGGAGCTCAACTACATGGCCTGGGATCAGGGTTCTGGGCTCTGACACTGAACAATAACCATCAAATTCAGAGTTAATGGAACAAAACCCAGTAAAAGCAGATGTATTGCTACCCATCATGCATTTTGCAGAGGGGGAGCTTTGGCGAGTGGTGCATAAAGCAGCCGCAGCAGCAGCCAAGTGTGATTTATTTAATGCCCCATGCACCGTTTCACTCAGCGCCACTAGATGTTATGACGATATAACTAGTGTCATATTTTGAATAAATCACAACAGTTATGAGTATCTGATGCTCCAGATACTCAACTAGTCTCAAGAAGGCCAGTTTAATTGCTTATTTAATCAGCACAACAGTTTTCAGCTGTGCTAACATAATTGCAAAAGGGTTTTCTAATGATCAATTAGCCTTTTAAAAGGATAAACTGGGATTAGCAAACACAACGTGCCATTGGAACACAGGACTGATGGTTGCTGACAATGGGCCTCTGTACGCCTATGTAGATATTCCATCAAAAATCAGCCGTTTCCAGCTACAATAGCCATTTATAACATTAACAATGTCTACACTGTATTTCTGATCAATTTGATGTTATTTTAATGGACAAAACATTTGCTTTTCTTTCGAAAACAAGGACATTTCTAAGTGACCCCAAACTTATGAACGGTAGTGTATATCTCCAAGAAACCAGTGTCAGGAACAATGTGAATTTGTGTTCGAGACAAGAACTCCCTCCGCTCAACCTGCCCCTCTTCATCATCACTCTTACCTCACTGTGTGTGTGTGTGTGTGTGTGTGTGTGTGTGTGTGTGTGTGTGTATGGGCGGGGGGGTGGGGCACGTCAGGGGAGAGAAAACTTTTTAGAGTAAGGAGCTTCTGACCCCCCCCCCCCCCCCCGAGGTTCAACTTCAGTCCAATTCTCTCAGTGTAAATGAAATACATCACATTAAAACTGACTGACTGCTCTTAAGAGAAAGTGCATGGCACCACTTTGAGAAATGTGTGTGGGTCCTAAAAGTAAGAGTCACACACATTGTTGGCAGTGAATACCAGACACTCAGGACTCAGGAAGTGCCATGTAATATTGTGAGAGCTCCACAACTACAGTATTAGCCAGGGGAAGGATGCTGCTCAGACGGCACCGAGGAGGGAGCAGCATCTAGGATGTGACTCTGACGCTCCCTGCACTTGGTGTCTGAAGTCATTTCCGTCTGCTGCTGACAGTCTCCTCTTCCCTGAGCCAGGTCCCTGGTCGGGCCTGATCCACGCGGTGTGATACGGTGTGATAGGCAGTTTAAAGACAGCCCTCTTTTTTAACAGCCCTGTGCCGTGAGGCTGAGGACCCAGAGACAGGGGAGGCAGGGGGAAGAGGAAGAGGGCCAAGGCTTAGATTATCTTATCCCATCCATGTATTACTGCTCAGACAAAAGAGGGGTCAGGGACAAGGTGGCTTTAAGAAGCAGGGATCTGACAGATCATGAGTAGGAGGGGTGCTGGGGCGGAGATAGCACGCTTGTGTATGTGTTGGCATACGCTTGTGAGTGTGTGTGTGTGTGTGTGTGTGTGTGTGTGTGTGTGCACATCCGCGCATCTGTGTGTGTGGTGTTATGGGATAGCTGCAAAGCTCCTATTGCTATTAGAGGAGTCTGCGGAGGGTGGCAGATAGATTGGGAGAAATCAGTGCATCAGAGAAGAAGGAGCAGCTTTTATCAGCCCCCACAGCCAGCCAGGTAACATTATACTGTAGGCTTTAATCAGGGCCCCCACAGCCAGCCAGGTAACATTATACTGTAGGCTTTAATCAGGGCCCCCACAGCCAGCCAGTTAATATTGTACTCTAGGCTTTAATCAGGGCCCCCACAGCCAGACAGGTAACATTACACTGTAGGCTTTAATCAGGGCCCCCACAGCCAGACATGTAACATTATACTGTAGGCTTTAATACATTTCTTATTGTTGTTGCATTGCCGAGAAGTAAGCATTTTGTTGGACGGTGTATACCATGTGTTTCCCGTAAATACGCCTAATACAACTTGAAAAGCTAGGAGGGAATGTGGTGTGTTTACTTATTAGCAGCCATCATTACTATATGGAACATGTTTGTGACAGAGCGTACACGCACGTGTGCAAGCACAGATACGCGCACACACACACACACAAACACACACACACACGCACGCAGACACACCCCCAGACACACACACTACACTGCATGACGTATGAGACAAAATGATGAAATAGAGCACTTCCACTAAAACAAGTGCCTACTGCACAACCACACAATAACCAGTTAGAATGGTAATCCTGCGTGTTCATCTTTCTATTGGAGTGGATCAATGATCTGGTACAAGCAGGCAAGATCATTTAATATTTGAAGTCCTATTGTTACTGTGCTAGTGGAGTGTGTGTGTTTGTGTGTGTGTGGCCTGTGAATGTGTGTGTGTGGGGGGGAGGGGGATCCTTCTTGTTCATTTCCAGGCGATAACCTGCCTGAAATGGTTCTGAGGAAGTAGCTAATAATAGGTCCTTTCTGAGCGGAGGCGGTTTCCTTTGGCCAGCCACTATGGACCTTGTAAGGCATATGAGATAGGACCCAACTGTACGGCTGGTTTGGAATAAAGACTGGGGGTTATTTTTTTTCCCGTAATTTATTGACACACAAAAGATGTGTCCTGAATCCTGACTGAAGTTATTTCTCTTGTCCCTTCAAGCATTAGTGTGTTGCTATAACAGAGGTAGAACAGAAAGGGGGGGGGGAGAGAGAGAAGAGAGAGAGAGAGAGAAGAAGATAGAGAGAGAGAGAGAGAGAGAGAGAGAGAGAGAGAGAGAGAGGGAGGAAGAGAGAGAGAGAGAGAGGAAGAGAGAGAGAAAGAGAGAGAGAGAGGAAGAGAGAGGCAGGAATAGAGAGAGAGAGAGACAGAAATTAGAGATGATGTAGAAAGAAACCAGCCACAGGACACACGTCAACCATCATCAGGTGTGGCTGCAGTTACATTCTTTCTGTCTCCCATGGACTTACAGGTATTATGGACATAACAATTGACATTACATTTTAGTTCACATTCTTATCCAGAGAGACTTACAGTTAGTGCATACATTCTTTTTATTTTCATACTGGCCCCCAGTGGGAATCAAACCCACAACCCTGGCGTTGCAAACACCATGCTCTACCAACTGAGCTTCATCCCTGCTGGCCATTCCCTACCCTGGACAACTTGTGCACCGCCCCATGGGTCTCCCGGTCGCGGCCGGCTACGACAGAGCCTGGATTCGAACCAGGATCTCTAGTGGCACAGCTAGCACTGCGATGCAGTGCCTTAGACCACTGCGCCACTCGGGAGGATTGATATGACAGCAATCATCCAGAATGCATGTTGGGACATTTGATCTAAATCATATAATTTTCGGTGACATTACAATCCATGGACATATACAAAATGACTGCAGCCACGTCTACCAAAATGGAAACAGTTCATTCCGGAAACAACCTGTTTAATATTTAACACAGTTTATACTAAAGAACCAACTCAGTGGTCTTGTTGTTCGAGTGTCTGCCCTGAAATTGGAAAGTTGGGGGTTCAATCCCCGGTCAAGTATTTGCAAAGAGTGGGACCTATGCTCATCTGCTTGGCACTCAGTATTTAGGAGATAGACTAGCATCCTGTCCAGGTGGTGTACTTGAACATCAAGCTGCTTAGCACTACAGAAACAGGAGATAGGCTCCTGCCTTACAGACCGTTTTGGCTTGGACAAGGCTACTTACATCCTAGTGGGTAAACCCCAACCCCTGTAGCCGGCACACAGAGCCTGGTTCCTTAGTAATACAAATCTGAGGTAACACCATGGGTTATGATGGATTTCAGCCTCACAATGAAGGGAACTAGTGCTGCTGTAAACAAGGAAATAAGCACATTAGAAAATGGGAGTAAGGTGGGGAAACAAATCCATTGTAAACGCAGCAGCGAGTGACACAGGCGAAACGTTCCCGAAATTGCTTTTTGATGGAATATGAACTTTTGAGCCGAGAGAAACAAAAGAGAGGTGGAAAGGAATCTGCAATGCAGTGCAGTTTAGGTCAAAAGCTAAACATACTCAGACAGATAATCAGACAAACTGAATTCTCAAGTGCAATTCCAATTATGCACACACAGCCATTTGTTCTCACTTTAGTGTGTGTGTGTGCATGTGTGTGTGTGTGTGTGTGTGTGTGTATGCATGCACAAGTGTTTGCCTATGTGTCTGTGGGTTGGTGTGAATAGGCTTTATATAATCACAAACACACAGGAAACAAAAACCCAATCTGCTCACAAATCTTCCCACCTGATACAGTGTGTTTGTTCAAAGACTACAAAAAGCTTTAGAGGATCCCAAAATAACAATAGTTGAGCTGGATTCAAGTTGTTTTTGACCTTTTCTACTTTGGATTGATACTGTAAATGGACAGACAACACCAAGAAAGCTTTAGCCTATTTTACCGATCACAATCTGAGATCTACACAGCACATATATCACTCTACCTCCCTCTCCTCTCCTCTCTTCTCCTCTTTTCTCCTCTCCTCTCCTCTCCTCTCCTCTCCTCTCTTCTCCTCTCCTCTCCTCTCCTCTCCTCTCCTCTCCTCTCCTCTCCTCTCCTCTCCTCTCCTCTCCTCTCCTCTCCTCTCCTCTCCTCTCCTCTCCTCTCCTCTCCTCTCCTCTCCCTCCTTTCCAAAATCCCCACAGTTTGACTCCTGGATGTTGCATTAAAGCAGAATTAAGCCAGAGCCACACTTTTTTTGCCTAATGTTAAGCAATGAAAATCCTCTGTTATCCATTTACTCCCAAATAAAAATCCAACTGCTTAATGCTAACAGAGAGGGTGAGAGGGAGAAAGAGAGAGAGGCACCGCCTGGCTGACATCATCAGAGCAAAATCTCCCTCTGAACTGGGCCTGATGGAATATCAAACAGAAAAACATATTGACATTTACAATAATAGAGAAGGGAGGAACTCCTTGCCTTAATGCAATCTGATCTGATTATACTGATTAATTGAGTGCCATGCTCTTACTGCATCATTGTTCAAAGATAAAATGGCAGAGACTGGGAGGAGGGAGGGGCATGGCTCTGGGAGGAGGGAGGAGCA